ACCGGACACGCCCTCGTTACCATGTTTTCGTCCCTCGCTCATTAAATCTTTAAATGAATCCACGCCGTTCCGTTACCTAGGCATCACCGCTCGATCCGCTGGAAAGTTAACAGCCCGCTTAATAACGACACTCGCCGACTTTCGGTGGAGATCAGCCCCGATGCGTTGCCGCGGTGCGGAAAGCCAAGCATTCGAAGATCGCGGGCGGACCAATCAGTAGCTTCGACGCGAGGAGGAGGGGAGAGATAACGACGATGATTTTCGTGTCCGACGGAGTTTTAATTAATGGAGAAGAGATAATAAAGAGGGACTCGAGAGAAGGAGAGGGGGAGGAGGAGAAGAGAAGGGCTACGATTAAAATAGAAAACTGGGTCGACCCTGAAGCGCCGATGAAAAGTTACCCCGTCGCGAGTGTATCGAGCTACACTATCACCGTTATCTCCCGCCGAACCATATTTCGGATGAAACTGACATTTCTTCTCTTTGGCCAGGCCTTTAATTAGGAAATGCTCGCCACGTTGCATCCAACGTGCAGCTGCATCTTCTCTTCTGCACTGTGTACGCGCACGTTCTCGCTCGAAAAATTGACACCGCGCGTCACCGGCATTTCGAGAGGAACCAGCGACCTTTTTTTGGAGCGAATAAAATATTTCTAGGGTGGCTGTTGCCTTGTGTCTCAGAGCTTGGAAAATTGGAACGTGGTAATTGTATGGCTTGATTGAAATTTTCGAACTTGAAAATTGAAGTTGATTTGAATTTTCAATTTCAAACAAATTTGAAGATCTAGGTTTCAAAGGAGACAGTGAGGTTTTTAACCTTGTGTGTAGGCAAGTATTTTACTTGTGACACTGCGTTCTTAAAAAATAATGTTCCAATTAGGTGTTGACGATGGTTTTATTTTTTCTTTGGTTGAATTAAAGAAAGAGAGAAACTCTACCAATTAATTAATATTCCAGTTATGACTATCTAGATCACAGAATAGTATTAATTTCCTACTTTCCTAATTTTTCATATTTAACTCTATATTTTATTCGTTGTCGGTTGTCTGATCTTCACGTCAGAATCAAAACATTCTTTTTTCTCGGAAATGTTCAATTCGCTTTCGCGCATCGAACGACGAATGATCAAATACAATTATCCTGGATAACATTGCATCCGATTGATCGCATTTTTCACGAGCGCAAGTATGCAGATTTCTGCGTCGCATGACGAGTGATCGATGGTAGAAATTTTGGAAAATTTTCTTGAAACTCGCAGACACGCGTTTTCAAGTAGTTGCATTTTTCTTCTTCTTCTTCTTCTTCTTCTTTTTTCTTTTTTTTTTTCTTCTTACAAATAGTGCGTCAAACGACGAATGACCGATGAAAGGAATTTCAGGAAATTAAATATTCGTGACGTTCGACGAATTTGTTGGGAAATTTTCACGTTTAGAGCGTGGCAAATCGCCATCGACAGAGTTCCCGGTGCTTTTCGAATTCACCGGGCGTACAACGAGCGCAACTCGCGCGACGGGGAACCTGTTACGAGAATACAATGGGCAAGTAAATTTTCTTTCGACAATGTAAAACAATAACTATTCTCTTTGGTTCTTTGTAGCCGAGCGCCATTACGATTCATTGACGACGTTACTCGCGGATTGTTTGTGAAAAATTGGATTCTTGAAAATCGCGGAAACGCCGCCTCCGCGAATGTCTGTCCGTCGCGAGACAGATTTATGCATGCAGCTGTCAAACGATGCACGTCGATTTACTTCTTTTCGCGTGGGAAAGAAAAGACTAATCGTTGATCACGCGCTTGCTCTTCCTCTGAACAATTTATTTTCACAAATTTAAATCGTAGAAATTTCACAAATTTCTCGTATACTAAAAAGTATACAAGATAGATCCCACGATTCACCAAATTCTATCAATTAAAAGATTCTAAGGTTTGGTCAAAACTTGCCATATAAAAATATATTTTAATTTTTAATTGTAATATATGTTACATTTAATTTTTAACATTAATGTACATTGCAATGAATTTAAATTAATTGTAATATATATAAAAATCATGTAGTTATTCAAATAACGAGTGTAGAATATTATGAACCATCGTTATTTTCTTTCTGTAGAAAATGTCCAGTTGCTCTGTTAAAAAACGAAAATATCCTCTTCGCGTTTGTAAAGCTGCTTCGGACATTCTCTTTTTAAATTTTGCAGAGCGCAGAATGAAATTGTAGCAGAAAGAACAAAGTCTTTGTAAATTTCGATCTATTACAGCGTTTAGATGAGACGCGATTCACCGGCCCCGATTATTGCCGGGGCTTCATGCTTATTAATGCGTAAACGTACGTGCGCGTGCACGAGCAACACACGCGGAAACGCAAAGGCGAGTTTATTCGTACGAGGTCAAGATCATTGTCGTTCGTTCGCGCGCAGTTTGAGCTCTGTCGCGTGTCGCTGTGAATTTTCCACACGTTTTGCTCACAAAAAAAAAAAAAAAAAAAAAAAAAAAGAAAGAGAGAAAGACGAGAAAACCGAGCATTTCGAATGTTGACTGTATTTTGCATATTTGAAAGGATTTTCGGGCTAAAGAGCAAAAATCTGTTCGAATCTGGACGGAATGGAATCGTAATGAACGAGTAACTGAGGCAATCACAAAACTTCGCTGTTCTCTCGCGACGTGGCCCAAAATGAAAATTATACTTTGTAAAAATAACACCTGGATAGTTTTTAAATTCCGGACGTAGATTTTACCGTTCTATGCCCTGCGGAATTTAGGAAGAAAATATTTGAAGGAGTAGAAATTTGAAAAGGGAACGTACAACGTGGAGATCTTTCTTTATTTTCTAACGAAACAATTAAATTTCTTTCTTTTTTTTTTTAAATAAAGAAAAAATAATGACGAACGACGAGAATATTTTACAGTCGTTGTTTGAATGGTCATGATTTCTGTGCATCCCTATTTTCTCTCCGCAAGAGTGTTACTGAAAGGAAAATATCTGGTGGAAAATACAAACGCGAAGAAGCAAGGAAAACAGCAAAAGGTTAACCTGGAAATTCTTCTGTATTTTCTAGCAAATAGTAGTACCAGTTTCTCGTTTACTCCCGGTAAAATTATTAAACTTTCTCGTGCGAATATTTCATACAAGTGAACGAACCTCTCTTTTTGAATGACCGTAATTTATAATTTATACAGTTCTATTTTCTCTATACCCTATGATCGCCGAATCATCGACGTACCTTTCGTAACTTGAATTGTCCATCGCCACTTCTAATCTTTCTCCTATCAGTCAATTCTTTGACCAGCGAGTTCTCAATAAATCGTCAAAAGTCCTCCAATCTTTGCTCAGCGATCATCGAGTTCTTCACTCTGAATTCCAATAGTATTTATAAACACACCGCAGATTCGAAAACGATTCGATCCACATTGTACATTCTAATTTCGTCAAACATTCTCCAAACTCACATCGTCGTAGCTAGTCTTCAAAGCGGATGTACCAAAGTTCTCCGGAATATATTCCTCTATCGGGAGTGTCTGGAAAAATCGGAAAGTTCCGTTCGTTTGACGCGCAAATAGCGAGCACGAAGCGCGCACAAAGGACGCCCTATTACGCAATCGAATAGCGACATTGGTGACAATCATCGAATTACCTGCGATCGTGTCCGTAGTTTCCTCGCGATTCTCGTTTCGAAGTGTCACACGTTCCGCGAACTCCATTCTCTCTCACGTTGTAATCTGTGCAACCTCTGGAACCTTTAAATTTTAATTCGGTCGCGAAAATTGTGCCGCGTTTTAGCCATTTGTTGACACTTGGCTACGTCTGAACGTAATAACAATAATTTGCATAATGTGTGTGTTTCGTTTCAATTGTTAAATACATGCTATGAAAGCTAGAACACGAGGATAAAATTATTTATTTACTTCCGCCTACGTATTGTTCGCTCTCATCTGAACTGATCTTTGCGTGCGAATAAGAATTATCCACAGGGTGAATAGAAAAAAGGGTTTTTTAACTTCTAGATAGTAGTCGACGAAACGTGAAGAAAAATCCTAATAAACACGGGTCGAACATCAATAGTTTCAAATTTTTGTTTCGATTGAAGAAACGAATTTCTTTGCTTCGAGAGCTGTTATGAACTGTTACGTAGAGATTTGTCTCGTAATTTCTTCATTTCCTGATTATAGGAGGTTCCTCACGCGTCCTTTTCCCATTTTTATACACCCTCGTATCAAAGAATCACGTACTCTTTCAAAGATTCCCGGATGTGTTCTAACAACCGAAACAGAAAATCGTTCACAACTTTGAAATTATTAATTTTTCGGCTCGTGTTTGTCAGGACTTTTTTGTTATATTTCGACGAGTACTACCTACCCTAAAAGTTACGAACCCTTTATTCATCCTGTATAACTTGAAGAGCTAGGTGAAAAATATTCCAATTACGAAACCAGTATATCTTGGTAAATATGTATTTCTCTGGAAGAGTTAAAGTATATGTACTCCTCTGAAATAAATAATTTCAAGTACAAAAGCGGTAAAAGTGGGTTGACATTTTCGTTACAAAACTAACTCTTCGACTCCAAATCAGTCGAGAGCTATTGCGTTGACATCAGACTTGGACGAGGCTAACTATATCTAACGCAAAACAAGACAATGTAGTTCACAGTGATTGTACGCGATCACACGAGAAAATGACTTTGGATGGTAGAACGCGAAACGTCGATCGTTATCGTTCAGGCGAATTCGGCGACTCGTGGCGTTGCGAACCGCGTGACAGCGGCTTAAGGCGTTAAAATAGAGCCCGGAGAGGATCGGTGTGGCCGACACGTCGGTGCCAGAACGCGGCTACGCATTTAGTCTTTAACTGGAAGCATCCGCGGACGGTGTAACTCGCGGCACAGAGTGACGAACACGCGAGTATTCCTCTTGGAAGCTCCTGGCAGGCGATCCTCTCGCCGAGAACGAATCGGTGGTGCACGACGATGTGAAACGACGACGGTGTGCTTCCGTGGCTAAGAGGATGCAACAAGTGCGTCGCGCCAGCGAGGAGAGAGAGAGTCGACGAGAACGAAACGTCACGTAGAGGCTACCTGAGAGGTCGACCGCGGCTGCGTCCGCGAATCGCGACCCCCCTGACCTCTGCTAATTATCCTCGGGCGATCAGCTTCGTTTCACGCCTGCGAGAGGCGCGATCGTTTGCAAAAACGAAAGAACGGCCGCGCGAATGCAGAGTCTCTAGCAAGCATTCTATCTTCTATAAATCTTCGATCGATTCATCGATCAGTCGATGACCACCGAAACGAGACAAGACGGGTCTCCGTCTGATCTTTAAGTCTTTTTCGTCGAGTCTGTAAGTTTTTCTCTTCTTTCTCCTCTGTCATGTCAGATCAGAGTTTTCAAGTCTTCTCTCTCTTTTGCTCACTTAGTAGTTCACTTCTGTTCAGATCTGTCAGATCTTACTTTTCTAGGAAGAGCAAGGTACGTTGATTCTCAAGGTATCACCGGTGGTTGGATTTATTTCCAGTTCGATGCGTCGGATCGGACCGACGAGAATCGAAAAGCTCTCGACGAGAATAGAAAAGAGTTGGCGAACGGCGGAGAATCCAGGCGGGGGTCAGGCACCCGCGTTGTGGAATGGAAGTCAAAGGAAACGGGCCTCGAACGGACGACCACGGGGAAGATCCGTTTCTCTGGACGATCTCTAGAACGGGTGCATCTCGAGTGTTGGTCACCAGTCTCGCGGCTGTCGCTCGATACTGCGCCGACCGATTGCCAAAGAAAATGAGCCTGGACTGCCTTCGAATGCTCGCCGCGTGCCTAATCTTCGTGATGCCACGTTCCCTCACTTACGTTCTACTCTATCCCATTTTCAGATTAGTGTTCGGCAATTTGTACCCGGCCTACGCGTCGTACAAGGCAGTGAGGACGAAGAACGTGAAAGAATACGTGAGTATCTGATAGCAATAATAATTTCGTAACTCTCGAAACTCTCGAAATTTTCGTTCTCTTTTGTTAAATTTGTATTTGTATGAAAGAAGGAAACGAAATCGGCCGTTCAATAAACATTCATATATGTAAAAGTATCAACTTTCTCGAACCAGATACTGTTTTTACAAAACAAAATCAGTCGAGTTTCTCGAGAGTTTCGAGACCTCGAGAAAAGACCTTCGGATTTGATAATGGAGAAATTAGGTTCCACGGGGACCCATGGGTCCCACGGAGAAAACTTCCGAGAGGCAATTCTTGCCTCGCCTTCCATTAACAGCGATTACATTTGATCATCCTAATTAATGGGAATAGTCCGGCAGCAAGTACCAGGAACCAAGTTCCAGATAAACTTGCCTCGATAACTGTTACGGCGCAAACATTGTTTCTACGAAAGCGTAAACTTCGCTTTGTAAATGTTTATCCGCGAATGCTGGGATTCGCCCTCTCTTGAGGGGGGGGGTATTTTTTCGTTAAAAATCCACCACTCTTATCTTCGACGAACTTTGGCTTCGCGTCTTAAGCCCTTATTGCTTTTGTGTATCCGCTTTTGTTCCCTCCTCGAGAGGGAATTCCCGTTTAAATTCGAAACTTACGTTTCCATCCCCCTTTGACGGTCCCCCTTTGTTTCCGCGTAACCTCGAAGGATAATATTAGGCTGCTCGTAGAGGCTCTGTCTGCCAGAATACGAGTTCCACATGTGTATCTATACGTAAACTTTATGCCTCTCTCATGAAGAGGAGTTAATCGAGTGAAACTGTTTGATTTTTAGATCTTGAAATTTGCACAGCTCTCGAAAGAGACTTACTTACTATGATATATTAGAAAATCAATTAACTTTTAAGCAAAGCCATCCAGTTTTCAAGTTCTTCTGGATATCTTCTTGAATCTAAACGACGCTTTCTTCGCGTTGGCGTTACAAAATTCTTTGTGAATATCCGTCTCGTTGCATTTGGAACAAGTACTTCGCTTCGCATGTAGTATATTCGTATAAATGTTCTTGCGTGTTATACAAATTCGAGACCCTTAAATTTAAAGTTTACTTCTGACACGGCCAAACTTCGTACAGCAACCTAGCACGTACGTATCTACCGAAGAACCAGGACACAGTAAAAGTTCCTTCAAGATGCTCGCTCTCCACCCGAGAGTTCGCGAAAGGTTACGTCATCGCAATAGGAGAGATCCACCGTGTAACAATCCTTTCGTTTTCAGGTGAAATGGATGATGTACTGGATCGTGTTCGCGCTGTTCACGTGCGCGGAAACCTTCACCGACGTGTTCTTCAGCTTCTGGTGAGCAACGCATCGGGATCACGTGGCCCATTCTAACTTTGATACGTGCCTACGTAGCGTAGCTAAGTACCGGGAAAGGTCAAATAGAAGAGAAGAGAAGAGAAGAGGTCATCGCGATCATCCCTTCCCCTCTCACCTAACTTGTTAATCCAAAGTGCACGCTCGCGACGAAAGAGGCTGGAAAACACAGAGCGGGCTGCGCGCGCTCCCTGAATGCAGAGAGTGTGTGTTTGGTCTTGGTCGGTCGGTCATGGCCCCGTTCTCGCCGGAAGCGAGCAAAATTCGGGCGAACCGGGGCCAATAAACCGAGGTGAACCGCGTGGTCCGAGGCTCGCCACCGGGAATTCCGAAAGTCTAATTTCGGCCGAGATGGATATTGGCTTACACATGCACTTCTGAGGATTCTAACCAGGGTCCACCGTCTTCCCTCTCTGTTTCTCGTGTTTTCCTCCCCCTGGCTGCGCCAAGCCCGCTCGCTCTCCCTTCATACTCGGATTACAACCAAAAAGGAGAGCTCCCGGTGTATTTCTGGCCGGGAATTACACTCTCGCGCTTTCCACTCTCTTTCCTTCCCCGTCGTTCGCCTGACCAACGACTTTTCCCATCCTTTCCCCCTTTCTTTGCCCTTGTTCCTCGATGATGCGGCTTCGTGTGTCACGCCTAAGGACGATTTACTTTCAGTTTTCTGAATTTACGAGTCCTCCGAAGTACTCACTTATAAAAGGGTCGATTCCTGTGCAATAAAATTTCTATCGGAAATTTACTGTAGCTTCTCCTAAGAGGTGCGGTTGGTAGACTATCGTTCAAAAAGTTTGGAGCATACTTTACATTTTGGAACAAAGGAAACTTGCCTCTACATTTTTCTAAGATGTTATTACAATCGCAAAAATGTGATTTTCAAGTATGATCGATCAAAGTTTCGGTACGAAAAGATAATATCAAGAACAGGATATTTGTTTATTCGAAGAAATCGTTTCTTTTGAATTTGGACGTGTTCTAGATTCTTGGGCGAGAGTGTAACGTCAAAAAATTAATTAGTACAATGTGATACATATATGCGGCCCCTTTTGTATGGAGTATCGAGTACTAAAAAATTCCGTAGTAACTCTTGAAATTCTCATAAAATTGCCAAATTCAGATGGAAGAAGCAACGGCGAGAGCAGTAGCTTTTATAGTAGCTTTTATAGCAGTGTACAGAAGCAAAATTCGATAGCGTAAAATGATCGAGTCAGATTAACCGCTTGCCATACGATTTTCTCTCGTATTGAACTTTCTCGATCTTTCTCTTGTATTAATAACGTCAAGTATTGAAACTGATTTGTACTTTCTAATTTTCGAATTAGAGAATTTAGACGTAAAATTCCAATTCGAACTTTTGCGTAATTTGTTTCTGTCCAAGTCAAACGAGACCACAATTCGTACTACGGCTCGATATTTCAATGGCAAGTGGTTAATAACAAGACCTTGAAAGCAATTTACTCTGATCTAATTTCTTTCGAAAAATCTTTTCTATCTCCTCGTCGAGGTGTTCTACCAATGAACAATCGCTGTCTGTCTATTTCTCGATCGTTTCGTGCGCGTGACATTTGTCCTTTTAATCCCTCTCATATAGGTTTCCGTTTTACTATGAGATCAAGACTATCCTGGTGATCTGGTTGCTGAGCCCGGCAACCAAGGGCTCGAGCATCCTCTACAGACGTTTCGTCCATCCAGCTTTAATCCGGCGTGAGGCCGAGATCGACGAGGCTTTAGCACGTGCTACAGAGCAGGGTTATTCCGCAGTGTTGCACCTTGGATCGAAAGGTGTGAATTATGCAACCACGGTTCTCATGCAAACCGCGATCAAGGTAAGTTTTGGACTTACGAGTACAACACTCGCTTACGAATACCGTAACGATGAATCCGACCGTCTTGTCCGATAGAAATTCCAATCAGTCTGTGGACATGTATTTATGAGAAATATAAATATAAAACGTAATAATGTAAACTTCCCTATTGGTTAAAAGTTTGACACGTAGATTTAATATCAACAGAGTGATTTTCTTGCTTAGAATATTTTAGTACATTGTCTGAAATGAATGTATCTCTCATCGTTGTGCAATGCGATCAAAAACATGAAATTAAACGCTAAAACTAAGACGGGTAATTAAAACAAAATTTGCAAGGGATAGGAAACAATTTGTGACACAGTAACAAATACAAGCTCTCAGTTATTTTACGAAATTTTACGAAAACAATATATCATTGTAGAACTTTCATTTTCCCACTTTCAGCACCTTGAAAGTTCTGATGAAATGTTAAGTTACGTATAAAATACAAACTTTTGGCCAATAACGTACAAGTAAATCTCCGTTTGCATGAATAAATTTGCACAAACATCCACAATTGAATTACAAACCACTCGTGTTGCAAGATTTCATCGACAAGACGATCGATCCAACTTCACTTAAAAACATTAACTCGCTGACAGCCACCGCTTCTCAATTCGCTAATCGTACGATTTTCTTTCTTTTTTTTTTTTCATTTTATGTTTACGTTGTCCTGCACGCCTAATCCTGCACGCCGCCTCTAATCAAACAAAACACCAACGTCGATCATCATCACCACACATCGTCTAACCACTGCCAAATCATCGTCGTTTAACAACTTTGTCGTCGTTGTGTACTACCAACAAAAATAAAAAAAAAAACAACCATCACGTTA